GTATGAATATCATACTCGAGAAATAATTTCAGTGCAATTTACATATTGCTAATCGCGATTTTAAAGTTATAACTCTAAAAACCTATAACATGCCGCAGAACACCTTATTACATATAAATATAGGCTATTACCATAATTATTCATATTCCTTTAAAAGAACCGTTATTACAAAAAACTTCATGGTAAGCAAAAATTGTCGCATAATTGTCTGTGCGATAATGAGAATGTTTATCTCTCTGAATATTCAGTTTTATCATAAAGTATCAAGATTTCAGTGAAACGGATAATGTACATACGAAGGCGAAATATTTTTCTGAGTATTTCCCTAATCAAACAGATATCGTTTTTTGTCTTTTCAACGAGAGAAAAACATCCGATTCAAGTGTAACACGTTCAGGGAATAATTCGCGAAAAATGGCGGACGGCCATGCGTTCGTGAAAGTTTACGGCGGCATTGAACTTGGTCCACCGTTGCGTTTGGCTACAGTCACTGCAGTCGGATCAACTGCGCATATTTTTTGGCCCGTTGTTCTGTTAAAAGCACCGGGACGCCTCTGGCCTCAGCTAAAAAAAATCACCTAAACAGCACGCTTCCGAAATCATCGAACTGTGTTCTCGTTTTAGCGAGAAACTCTTATAAAACTCGTCATCGTTGCTATTTAGAATATCTTTCGAGTAACATTTAAATAATTATCGATAGTAGTACCTAATATTGATTATTTATGTATTCTATTCTGTGCTTGAAATATATTTTTAATAGAATATTTATTACTGTAAATATTACGTGTATGCAATGTAAAATAATACATATGTAGAAGAATAATTTAAATCCCTGAATAGAATTCTTTCATTTTCATTTCAAATGATGACATTAAGTAACGCGTTATATAAAGTTACCCGATGATATGCTACACTTTATAGCATTTCTTGTAATAAGAGCACGACGGGATTTAATTAGAAGTAATGCCATCGGAGAGAAATTTCACTTGGACGAGAAAACAAATTTCATTTTCATTTCTGACGAATTTTTATTTTTATCCTCGTGCTTTTATCCTAGCAGAAACAGTTCGGGAAATATTAAATTAGTTTGAAATAATTATGACTAAAAACTGTAGGACTCTAAAAATGATTTCATTAAAAAATATATATATATATTTCACACGAAAACATTTTTTTAACCATTTTTCGTACTCTGGTATATGTAAAATCTATTAAGTGTCAACCAACGTATTATTCTCTATAACTTTCTCCTTTCCCTAATACGAAGAAAATTTTCGTCAGTTTTATAAATTCTCATTCGTTAGTAATAATATAAAATCTTCATCTTTTTTTATATTTTATATTTTGTTATCACTAACAACAGAAATATATTTCCCAATAAACAATTTTATTTATTAATTTTCGCAAATTGAATACATAATTAATGTCATAGAAGACATTACTAATTCCATATTTAAGAAAAAGAAAATATATTTGTAAAACTCGTAATAGCTGTACACTCTGTACGAGAAGCTAAACGTATTATTACGTTTCGCTGCACAAACGGATAATCGTCCGATTGAAATTTTTCCTGCGCCAATGAATAAGAAACTGGTTTTGCAATTACCGTTTGGAACAAAGAAAATCTGATTCGTAATTACGCGCGATTTAGATTCACACGCGACCGTGAGAAAAGCCGATAAGCTCGCGGAATTCTAGGCTCGTTGGAAATTGGCAGATAGTCTTTCATTCGCAGGCGATGCATAGAAAAATCAAGGTTCTAGTTATAAGAGAAGAAACGCGTGTGTAAGTCGGCGTGGGTGTCGAAATACCTTTTCAACGACCGCGTGTGTAGAGTGATTCATGAAATAGTCTATCCTGGCAGTTTCGGATTTACAGGCGAGCATTTTACGGGAAAGTCAAATATTATACTGCCGGAAATAGATGTACAAAGCGGATCTCAGTTACCTCAGAGGGCATCAAAAATATCACGTACACAGACTGTACTTCATAATGTACCACTAAGTGATTGAACCAACTGATGATTCTGCGCCCAGAAATAAATCGAAAGCATCAACTAAATTCTTTCCCATTCGAGACCTCGAGACAATCAAACGTGAACATTTGTCGATGTGTCAAATACTGATCAAATGAAGGTACAATCGAAAGCAACCTATGTACAAAAATAAATGGGAAGTGTAGAATAATATTTACATATGACGTCTTTTACTGAAAATCAAGTTGAAGTTGAAGTGGATTAAAAGCTATTCTAATATAAATGAATTACAATCAAACGAAACTATTTCTTTTCCTCTCGATTGCTATACTATTTATCTACTTAACATATTAATGTCGATTAACATGTATTTGTTTACGCACTATTTAAGAAATGATTTTTTTCTAAAAATGTTTCCATTTTCGACACCTCTGGATTTACTCTGATACATGAAATTTATGTAACTGCTTATATTATTCCATATATTTTTTATCACGAGCTGTAACATGAATTTGAATAAAAAAAAGTGTCATTTCTTTATTATCTACGAGATTGACTTATCTCGACTATATATACACGTATCTCGAAGACGCTCGTACGGTTCAGCTGGTTCTGGAAATTGTGAGAGGTGCACCGCTTATCGAACATTTCTCAATAATTTCCCCATTCATTCTTAAGCTCGCGCTTCAGTAATCTCGATCCGGGGATTATGTAATTGGACCGATAACGATTAGGGATCTTGGGCACGATTTCGAACAGAAATAGGAATTATTTGGTAAGTATCCGGGGTAGGGGGAAAGGTTCACGCTACCAGTTTATCAAAAAGTATTTTTAGAGGACCATCAGCGGGCATATGTATTTACTGCAACATTGATATTTGACGTGTAAACGCGAATACTAGCTTTTTATAAATGACCTTCTTTGTGTCTTGAGAAATAATCCTCTGCATTTCTATGCCTCGCGCGGATTATTATTCGCGACACCTTACAATTAACCGTCGAATCGACGCTTATCGAACGCCACAGTCGAAACGATTGTCCGAATAAAAGTTCGGGAGGTTGCAAATTAATTTGTCGATTTATAGAAAGAATTGTATCGATAGAAATTTATTTCGAACGCAAGTTGAATCGTAAATAAATTCCATTGCAGCTAGAATGGAATTGTTATTTGACACGTTGACTGCCGTGAATCAAATTGAATTACTATAGTTCACTCAATTAAACGACGATTTGGAAACATTTCTATGTAAATAATGCTACATAATTTGACATTTAGAAGAACGTGCAATAATAACAATGCAATTCAACCAAATGATTTAATATTATATTTTTCCGTTTCGTGTATTTTGCTCTATGAAATCGTGTGGCATTCGTGTTAAACTGCTTGAATATATTCCGTAAAAGCAGAACTTGTGTAACATTCATAAAAAAGATATCTCTCGTAAATCTGACAGTTGAAAGGTCAAAAAGGAAGTGTGATTTTTTAAGGCTTCCTTTTCAACGTTCACTTATGACTCTAGACAACGGGACTTATCTATAACTTAAGCGTGTACGAAATGACTGTCCAAAATAGTGGAATATTTCGAAAAGTAATTAAGCGTTTATCGATTTAGAGCTCCGACGCGATGACTACGCGTCACGGTGGCATTAAAAGTGCATCGGGTCTTTAGTCTTGGAGCGTGTTGCTCAACGTAATCCCACATATTCTCCACTGATGTGTGAAGCATAACGATACAAACCGTCAGATAAGGAATATTACGACGCCTTTGTGCTTATCTTCAGGGTCCACAGTGTTTAGCAACCGTTGATCGTGTACAAACGAATAATTAACGATTGCCCAATAAATGTAAATTTCTATTCGATAACTTCTGATCCCGTTTCTTAGAATCCGAGGAGAGCACATTTCTTCTTCTTTCTTCTGCCCCTTCTGTTCCCCATCGGAATATTCGGTTATTGTCTACCGAAAGGGAACACGAAACGATTTCTGTTGCCAGAACATGTCTAACGAACTGAGCGAAGCGCCACGAGCATAAATATGAAATAAAGTAAGTACATCAACGCACAAAAGTTTCGGATCACTTGTCTCGCGAAAACGTTTCGACGTTTTGTTAGAAAAAATTCAAATGAGTCCTTGGATATTCGTATAATAGAATACTTCAAGAGTAGCATACGCAATTATAGAGAAACGATAAGTTCTCAATTATTAATTAGTCTCGATTCAAAGCTGTAACTTGAGTTTCATTTAGGTAGATATATCTTTTTCGTTGAAGTAATTTCTACCTAAGACAAGCAGTTTAATCACTTTTAACGTATATTAGATATATTCCTTCTACAGTTACAAACAAAAGAAAATGATAAAATGTTAAAAAAATTAATTAAAACTACTACTAAGAGCAGGAAACATTAGATTTCATTACTTTGTACTTCATTTTCTTACGCAAATCGTGGATATTAAAAGTGATTCTAAACTTTTGGGCATTAGTGTATATACAGACACTAAATTAAGGATTTTATGCGGCTCCGTCACAGACGACTGCGCGAACCACGAGCGAACGCGGTTAACAGAAATGTGTGTTAATTTCCAAATTTCCATAGTTTTTGTATAATAACGAATCAACCATTTCCTTCTACGGATGTATGAAAGTACAGCTGACCGTCCGTACAAACTACCAATCGACGGACTCGATGACAATCTCAAAAAATGTACAATTTCAAACTTGAAGAAGTGACATAACGAACGATAAATAATAAAACTTCGTTCGGTTCACACAACGGTGAACTATTCCGATGCAACAGCTAATTCCCGTTTCTCGCGTGAAAAATACGCCACAGTTACCGATCGTTTACCGCAAAATGTCATTCCATCACTCTCCTTCGTCTCACTATCAACCTCGTCGTAAATTGCCACTGGAGCGTAGAACGGCGAAACAAAAGCCACGTTAAAACGGTAGCAACCGATGCGCGAAAGCCGCGCGCGAGCCGCCAATGAAATCCGAAGGAAGCCCGGGGAAAGCGAGTCATCTTACCTCTGAGCAGAGCCGCAAACAAGTGTCGCCCGGTGTTTTCTCTCGATCGGGCCGCACTCCGTTTTCCCGGCGCACCTTGCTTATCAGCCCCGGGATTTCCGATCGATCCCAATACACAATCGAAGAAAAAGAAGCCCGACCAGTTTTACGAATGCCAGCGCAAACCTTATCGATCGTTTCCTGCCGATGTACGAGCACTTTAATCGAAACCGATCGATCAATCTATCCTCGAGGACGTTGCGTTCGGAGCGAAGTAAAAGGGGACGAGCCCGATGAAAACAAAGGATCTATGTGTGCGCCGGTCCCTCGCAGGAAGACCGATAATAAACGAGGGGTCGTGTCCGTGGTGGAGGAGAGAAAAATAAAAAGAAAAAGGGGAGAGACACTAATGGCGGAACATTCGAGAGTTCGGGCACAGACTCGACTGAAACGGATCGAGGAAGGATCGAGCGTCGTGCACGTGGGCTGGGGGATGCGTCGTGCGTCGTTTCGTACGATGTTTCTATTCGGGGTCTCTGGATCGTGGAAGCGGCACTGCGTCAGCCAAGCGTCGTGCGCGAGCTACGGCGATCGACTAAAACCAGAGAAAAGCGTTTGCTCGCGCGTCTTCGCCCGTGCGAAACCGACTCGGCCGCCTCACTCGATCGTGCAAGTCGACTTCGAGTCTACCCGCCGCTGCAGGCGCAGATATAAGGTGTACAATGGATCCGCGCGGCGCGGCGCGGCGGCGTTTCGCGTTCCTCGGCGACGCGACGCGGCAGGTAGCGGGTAGGGTTGAACCGGTCAGTTTCTTGCTGGGCGAAAGATATTCAAAGTAACGAAGGAAAGATACGTTCGATTTTATAGTTATTCGTCGGTGATGCATTATCGTTGTTCGATGGCTACGAAGAAGTTGAATTTATTCGTTGTTCATTCGTTTGGAACAATTGTTCGAAGTAGCAGATAAATTTGGTAGTTAGAAATAACGAATCAGTAGTATATTCGTCATTGAGATTATAAAGAAATTGGATTTGTTAAGATGAGGTGGTTAATCGTCGAATTTTTATAGAATTGTTGGCAGTGGGAACTCAAGCCTAACCATAAAAAGTCCACATTGCCATCCATGTTGGTGGAAAACATATTGCCGGCGAAGAGTGAAAGTTATAAATAGAAGGTTCGGATGCCGAACGATGCGTCACATTTTTATTTTGAACATTTAAATAGTGTTTCTGCCACTAATGATTTCAGTTAATGATGCAGTTCTACGGCTACTTACGTACTTATCACCTTGCATACTGTTCACATGAAATTACGTGTTTCCTGTGTTATTAGTTATATACGGGATCTGTCGAAGAATATTTTTAGTGTACTGCTGGTTCATTGTGAAGTATGTGCAATACTTCAGCAGCATGTAATATAAGTATACATGTATGTATATAATAAATAATACAATACATATATTTAAAGGACGGCTCACAGTGCACCATTAAAAAACGTTAAATAAAAGATACACTACAGAATCAATGTAAACAAGTTTTGAAATTTAAAATTTTAGAAATACATTGCGTATCTCCTGTATTTCAAATGATAATATAAAACATTGGCATATTTGTCTATTTTATTTTTAGAAGTTGAAATAAACGACAAGGAAGATATTTAATTATAAATAAGAAAATAAAAGTTAAGTTCAAATGAAGATAAGAACAATTCAAATGCATCAGAAAGCTTATTAATGTCGATAATTAATTTTTAACTGACGTGCTTGTCGAATATTTAAACATTTCAAAAAATCATATAAAGTAATGAGTAACAATTTTTCGTGGATAATGAATCGAGTTTTATCAGTTTCCATTAAAATGAAAATAATGATTGAAGACAAGTTGTTGGTCAGCAATCTGTAGGACACAGTTTAGTATATTTTGGACATATATGAAATTGTTTCCGAGATCTTTACAGTCAGCAAAACAAGATAAGAAAATAATCTTATAAGTATATAGGAACAGTTAATACATTGTATCAGTAGACTCATTATCCCTAATTAAATTTTAAACGTGTGTATTTTATCATAACAATATTTTATTTATACTTTTAAAATATTTAGCTACACCCATACATACCTGTATGGTTTCCATGTAATTGTACCCACTATTTAAAAACACATTTGATTTACATACCTTAAATTCAAATAATCTGTACTCCATTTTCGTGTTTCAAAAATGACAGAAGTTGTTGGAAACGGGTTGAATATTATTATTGGGGCTTAAATGTAGATTGAAAATTTTTTTAAAATACAGTGGACTGATACACTTATTTATAAAAATCTTACAATTTGCACTTCCATAGCATGGATTAAATATTGATTAAAACATTTTTTAAATTATACTAACATTACTAACATCAGTCAATTATTATAATTATCAATGCTGTCAATATTATTATAAATATTAATACTATACTAAATATACTAATTATGGAATCTAAATATTTAAATAAGCATTTGAAATACAACATTTCGATTAGGATCAATATCCCGATCAGAATTCTAATTCCTAATTAAACAAAGAAACCGTTGGAGCTCTCAAATACTAATTACGTTCCTAAACATCGATTACACTACTGAAATTTTTATTCATTTCTCATCAGCCATGGAGTTATTTCGAATATTCACTATGCAAATGCATTTCACGGTAAGGAAATTTTCGCAACGCAAAAGTATTTAATTACCATCAAGAATGGGAAAACCCCTCGTAAATCCATACACACGTTTCGTTTATCTTGTACAAGACGCACACATCCGTTTGTTTTCCTAATACGCACTTCTTCATTTTTCCTCATATTGCGTGTAATCAATCCTTCTCTATGGTATTAACGTTTCTACGGAACATATGAGAACCTTATTTAAGAAATAACGGAAACTGATGAAACGTATGACACACCCTTTCATCATTGTCTACATATATATATTTAAAGATAACAAATTCCATTTTAATATACGCGTAACCGACCATTCGGATCATTCTAAAATTTCACTAATTTTCGTCGAAACTTTCAAGTAATTATTCACGTCGACAGCCAGAAAATAAAACGAAAGTCATTGTCAGCCAAGGTGAAGGGTTAATTTCTAATTCGTCCGAATGATACCGTCCACATGAGTCACTCGTGTCTCAATTGACCTATTAGATAATTTTACAAGAAATTCTTATTAATTATACTCTTCGGAGACGAGGTTCTTCGATGGCCTGTGCATGTACAGAACTGAAAATTATAAATGCCTATCGAATGTCCGAGCGCGTATACAGGCATGCATGTATTTAACGTCATTGGAGCGTTTAAAGCCGAAGCATTATTGCGATGCAGATGTGTCTCCATTAACCCCAATTAAGTTGACACTCCTAAAACTACGTGCGCCGTTCGCGAAGGACAAACGTACGCGATGTTTGCAACAATTTCCTGATGCATCGCTGTTCAAATAGATTAATTGTTACATGTCTGTTGACAACGATTATCGAGGGAATAAGCTGATCAGCGATTCTTCTGCGCTTTATCAGTCGAATCGTAGCCGTACACGTCATCGCGGATCTAATGGCGGTGCATTCATAAAATCCCAGCACCTTCTCTATTCAGTTAACGACCGCATTCATCGTCAACATATCCCGTTGTATTCCAAACATTCAAAATGTTTTGATTGCTGAACTATGAGGCTCGAGTTGATAGTAAATGAATAGACTGCAGATATTCATGCAAATTCGAATTTTTCAGAATACCATTGAAAAAGTACAATTACGATGGAAAATTGTTTTCCTGACGAACACTATAAAAAGCACTGCACTTTGGATATTTTATACATTCTGTTGCATTATGCGCGATATTTTTAGTCTTCGACTTTCAAATTTTCTATAAATGGATAAAAATCTGCGGTCTAATAATTTAAAAAATTATTTACATTAAGGCGTATAATATTCTTAATAAATTGATCATTCGTAATTTACGTAAAATAATGGTATTCCATGATAGACTGTGTTCAAAAAATTCTTAATGACACAGAGACCTGTAATTTATACAAAATATTCGATGAAATATTATATCGCGTTTATGAGGTTCTTAATGAGATACATTCTTGTCATTAATATTAACTAATAGGTTGTATACTGATTTATATCGAATAATAGTATTAATCGTAAAATGAGGAGTTACATTAATTTATGCAATTCATAACTCACGTACATTTTAGAACTGACGAAATAACTGTAGGATTATTATGCTGGAGAAATAAATTATTCATAACTAACGAAGATATTTTACTTGATACAGAAAATATTATACTAAACAAAGCAGAAGTTATTCTTTTTCCATCGGCGCATTGTGCAATCAAAATCTTTACATTATCATCGACCCACAGGAAAAAAATATCGAATTTTGGTTACCGACAGGTCTTGGTTAAGTTCAGATTACCGACAGATAATTCCATCAGACATGGAAGATTCGAACAGAACCGCAATTGGTTCCACTTTCGTTAACTCAGGGCATTCGGTGATTTGTGAGATAAAAGATTTATCGATAATATGGTATCACGATTTGACTCACCATGTACCAATAAGTAAGAAATCTTATTTCAATAAGGAATCACATCTTACCTTGGAAGCATGGAATCTTCGAGTTTCCATTTTTCGGTCCAGGGACCTTTAAGCTCATCACTAGAACTACCAAGCAATTAGAATAATTGTTCCATATTGTCTTTAGAAATTGAAAAAGTCTATACCTCGAGACTTGAAGCGCTTCGTACCAATGTACTCATACAAATACACAAATCTGCTTTGTAATTTTTCACAAAAGCATCTTCATAATTTCGAGAATTGGGAAATTAGAATTTACTGGTCATTTTGACCGATCTGATGGTTCTAATATTTTAAGTCATTGCATTTGGTAGTTTCTTAAATATGTATTCGAGAACCTATAGCTTGAGTTTCAAAATTTAAAAATTCCTAATCGTTGAGACCTTCGATATTCTGACTCAGATCTTCAAATTCGAATGCTGATTAATATATTTTCATAAACCCAGGAGATTCTCTGAAAATGTGATTGGAATGCTTAAAAACACATACACACTTTCAAAAATTGCTTACTGGTATACAGGTTCCAATACAGTAAATAAGTAAGAAAGAATTGAAATTATAATTTATACTCATCATTTAAAAATAATCATAAACATTGCCCAGTTTTGAGACTGTTTTACCAAACTAGCTCGTTAAAAACACTAACATGAATCTACGGTGTTTGGATTACTTCGACTTTGGCAGCTTATATATCTATATTTTTGTTACATCAATTTAGTTATATCTATACTTTTGTTATATCAATTTATTTATATCTATATTTTTATTACATCAATTTAATTACGTCTATATTTTTGAATTTTCAATTGATATATATCTCCATCTACGGATAAGTCCATAGATCTTCGTTTTTTCGATCTAAATTTATAGGTTCTACTTTGACTCGATTGGAATTCCATAAAATTTGTATCAATCGATTCTTATCTTTTCAAATGTCACCTCTAGATCCTATTCGAGTGTATTTCAAACATGAACGTCGAGATTTAGAAATCAAATTTTCCCTCTTAACACGTCCCATGCTATCGTAACTTTCAGTTACATTTTGCTTATAAAGTATATTGATGTTTTAAATAAAAT